CACACACACACACACACACACACACACACACACACACACACACACACACAACCCCCTGCACCCCCCCCACCAGGACGACTACTTCAACGAGTCGGCGCGCCTGCTGGCGGAGGCCGCCAAGCGCATGGAGATCGACCAGGAGATCGCCAACGCGATGCCCACCGTCGCAAACATCGGCGACGCCCCCCACCACCACGGCGCCGCCCACCGCGACCACCGCGGCGGCGGCGCCGCCGGCCCCGGCCCCGCGGCTATCGCGGCGCTCGAGGCGGCGGAGGCGGAGCGGCTGAGGCGCACTGAGGCGGAGCGCGAGGAGCGGGCGGCGGCGGCGGCGCTGCTGCCCAAGATCAAGAAGCCGCGGATGGAGGTGTCGCCGCGGCAGACGTTCATCCTGGTCCGCTGGGCGCAGAAGCTGGCGGGGGCGTTCATGGGGCTGGGCACGGCGGCGTTCCTGCTGCTCTACCAGTGGGTCATCGAGCCGGCGCCCTACCACAGCATGCGCACGCACGCGTGGGTGCGGCTCACACAGGTGCGGGCCGTGGCTGGGCGTGTGCGTGCGTGTGTGTGGGATGCGGTGCGCGGTGGCTGCAGGGTCCCGGGGCCATCAGCGGCGCCGCATGCGGCGCAGCCTGCGGAGCGCACCAGTCGCCGGCCGTTGGCCGCAACAAGCGCCGCAGCCAGCGCCTCCTGCCCTGTTCCCATGGCCCCTCCGCTCCGCCCCGCCCCACCCGCTCGCGCGCGCGCCCCAGCCCCCGCTCCGCGCCCATCACCAAGCGCTGCCGCGCCCCTTCCCCTCCCACACCCTCTGTCCACACTCCTGCGGCCCCAGGGCGTCCTGCGCGGCGCCATGCTCGGGTTCTACTCCAGCGCCTCTGACTTCACGCGGCGCCTGACCAGCGTGGCGGCCAACGGCAAGTTCAGCCGGCTGGACGCGGGGCCTGAGGAGGACTGGGAGGAGAGCAAGGAGGACTTCAGGGCCGTGGTGGAGCACATCAAGCAGAGGTGCAGGGGGGGCGGGGGAGGACATGCCCTGTGTGTCGTGTGGACAGGGAGGGGCGAAGATTCCAGGGGGCAAGGGAGGGGGGAAGACTGAAAGATTTTGCATGGGATGAGAGGACCGCGGAAGGGCTGTTCAGCCGCGCAGGGCGCCCCCGCAGCCCGGGCAGTCTGGTGGAGGTGGGCCGTGTGCCGCGCCGCGCGTCGACCCCATCGCTGCGCAACTCTCTTGCCTGTGTCAGCACGCTCTTGCACGCGTACCCCCACCGATGCCCTACCCGACTTATAGCCGACCCCTCGTCCCCTTTCCTCCCGGTCGCCACCCCATCCCCTCGCTCAATCTGTACCCCACCCCCCGACCCATCCCCCACAAGGTACGACGTGAAGTACGTGATGTGCTGGCACGGCCTGCCCGCATACTGGGGCGGCATCATGCCCGGCGCCCCCGCCCTCGATGACGTCACCGGCGGCCGCATCGTGTACCCCAAGCCGACAGAGGGCATCGCGGAGATCGAGCCCTCCCTCATGTGGTCGCCCGCGGTGCTGGCAGGTGGGCGGGCGCGCGGGGGTTTCTTTTCAGGCGGCGACCCATGGAGGGGCGCGCGCTCGCAGCAGCAAGGCAGCCAGGGACATCGAGCCGGCTGCCTGCCTGCTGCAATACCTGGCGGAGCTCACGATCTGCAGCTCTTTCTTGGCCTGCTCAGCTGAGGCATGCTCCGGCAGCGCTTGCGCCCCGGCTGCCATGCCCCCACGCACTATCACACGCCCGCCCCAAAACCCCCGCCGCGCCGCCACTGCCGTCCTCTCCACCCCCAGGCGTGGGCATCGCGGACCGCCCTGCCGCGCTGTACAGTGCTATGCACGCCTACCTGGCTGGCTGCGGTGTTGACGGCGTGAAGGTCGACTGCCAGGCTGGCGTAGGCCTGGTGGGTTGTGCGTCGCCCCGCAGGCCCCTCACCCCTCCCCCCTTGCCGTTGCTGTCAGTTGGCAGCTGGTTTCTTGCCACGCAAGCATGTGGGGGGCGTTGGCCGCACATTTGCTGGCATGGAGGGCAGACCTTGTGTGCGCGTCAGCCGTCAAGTGAAAAGCGATGCCGCAGGGCAGGCACGCCCTCCACTGTGTTTCCACCAAAAGCTCCTGTCCCCCACATTGCCCTCTGGCGCCAAACCCATCCCATCCATATTCCTCACATCTTGCAATTCGCCGTCCGCCGCACCGCCCGCGCCGCCAGGTTGGCAGCGTGCTGGGCGGCGGCCCCGCGGCGTCGCGCGAGTTCCAGGCGGCGCTGGAGGGCAGCGTGGCGCGCCACTTCCCCGGCAACCACTGCATCAACTGCATGTGTCACAGCACAGAGAACATGTACAGGTGCGGCCAGGGGTGGGGGGTGAGGTGTTTGGGTTAAGGGGTGTGGGGGTGCTCGTGTTCATGCTTGCGGGTGTGCATGTGGGTGTCGTGTATGCGCGTGCGCGTGTGCCTGCGCTTGTGCATGGGTGCGGGTCAGGTGGTTGGGGGCGGAGAGGCAGCTGCGCCAACGCTATACAGCCGTGAATGGGTGTGGGTGTGGTGGCCAAGGCCCCGCCGGACGAGGGGTGCTGCTGCGTGGCGCGCTGTGTGGGTTGAGCGCCGCGCCGCGTTCCCACTTTGCGCAGCCCCGCAAGCGCCCCTCCCATGCGCACCAACAGTCGCACCGTTTCACTCCATTCAACAGTCTGTCAATTGGCTGCCTGCTGAAGCCTGCGTTCACTCAACCTCCAAACCTCCCAACCTCCCTTCCGTTCCCCACCTCCCCCCCCTTAGGTTTGCCGACACAGCCGTGGCGCGCGTGAGCGACGACTTCTACCCCCGCGACGCGGCCAGCAGCACGCCCCACATCGCGGCGTGCGCGTTCAACAGCGTCTACATGGGCGCGCTGGTGCAGCCAGACTGGGACATGTTCCAGGTGTGTGTGGGGGGGTAAGGCTTGGACTGAGTGGTGCATGATTGACCTTCTGCGGATGGCGGAACGCGAGGAGCGCACTCATACTGCGTGGGGGCAACAAGCGCGTGCTCACGTGAGGCAAAGATTCACCTGTTGGTCAAGAGGCGCCCTGCCTGCACAAGGACCCTGCATTTTCAAGCTGAATCCATTCTTCACCAACCCCTCGTTACCCGGCCCGTCCTGTCCCCTCCCTTACACACATGTCCTCCCCCCAAACCGCCCCTGAAGAGCGCGCACCCCGCGGCGCAGCTGCACGGCATGGCGCGCGCCGTCAGCGGCGGCGCCGTCTACGTCAGCGACAAGCCGGGTCAGCACGACTTTGAGCTGCTGCGCCGCCTGGTGCTGCCGGACGGCTCCGTGCTGCGCGGGGCCCTGCCGGGGCGCCCCACGCGCGACTCGCTGTTCTGCGACCCGCTGCGCGACCGCAGGAGCCTGCTCAAGGTGAGAGCGCGCGGGGGGCGCGCAGAGGCACACATGGGTCGCCTGCCTGCCTGCACCCATGGCCGGGCGCGCCCTCCGAGCGCGCGCGCCCATGTGGTCCCCGCGCGTGCCTGGGTCTGGCGTGCAAGGGGCCTGCGCGGCTTACTTTCGGCGCCTCCGCCGCTGTTCACCGGCCCGGCCCCCACC